TAGCCCCTCCATAAAGCATACCCTGCTTTATGGTCTATTTTACTCTAAATGGGACCATCATTTACTAAATGAACATCATGCTGTATGGAGATGACTGAAACTAGAGATTGAGAAGCTCAGAAGTGCCGTCCATTAATTGTATATTATCAGTGGTTCCAGGCCTAAGCACTCTTTTTAGCTGGATGAACATGTAATGTTGAATGGTGTGATTCTGTTATGGTTCAATATTAAGTAGTATTTAGTATTACGAGTCTACCTCTCCAAAATCAATTACATGACTATGCAGTAGGTCAGTTTGCAGATACATCTGGAGTTATAACATTCTAAAACTAAAAAAACTCAATTGAATTAAATTGAATGGAAACATGACTTTAAGTAGCAACATTTTGACTTGGTCCATTGCACCCTGGGAAAACTCTATTCCACGGTGTCTCCATCAGATTTCACACTGTGACAAAGTCGTCTAAACTTAGCTGGTGATATAACGGCCTGAGCAGATCAGGCTGCTCTGGGATCAGCCTGTCAGTCTCTCAGAGTACCCTTTGCCTGCCTCACTGCTGCTCTACACAGACATGAACAGAAACATGTTACACATGCTGTGAACATATTTAAATGCATTTAAATGTCAACATCATCATTTAATCATCATTATTAAGGATGACATTTTGGCAGAGGAGCGAGAAGTTGCAGAATATTCAAACTCTGTGAATCTGTGACCAGTGTTGGTGCAGGTTTTGGTGAAGTTTATTTAGTCTCAGTTGAGTATGAATGTGTGAGCACTTGTAAACAATTGTACTTTGATGGTCAGTATGGTATGGTTTATGGTTTTCCACTGGCACTGGTCTACTGTGTGCATGTGCTCTTCTGGGGGCCCCTGCAGACTTGAGTGGTGCGACCCTAAACCCGTTAGCAGTCTGCCCTATGCTCCCCGTGGAAGGTTCTGTTATAAGGTCTATTTAAATAGTTAATGACTTGATGATGTTTTTGGTGGTGAAAATATAGATCTTTTTTATTAAAAAGGGCTTCTGATTGCTACCGCACATACTTCTGTGACTGTTGGTCATGTGTAATTTGTTGTAGAGGAATTTGTCCAGCAAATCTTGGTACATGTGACTTTGCTAGCTTGATTGTTTGACTAGCTTCACAAAAGTCTCTGTGATGTAGCTTGCTACCCAACAGTTAGTTAACTATTTCTTTGTTTTACTATTTTTTGGAGCTTGTTGTGAGTGGAAACTGATGCTCAGTTCTAGTAGGCTGGTTGATTGGTTGGAGCCAAAAGTACTGAATTGTGTTTTTTTTACCCAACTAGCAAACCAAAACCCGTCGCTCAGTTTTCAGTAGAACACAGTAAAGCAGCAAATATTCCCATTTGAGAAGCTGGGAACAAAAGAATATTTATTATTTATTTATTATTGTTGTTAGTTAGTTAATAGAGCTCAACAGTGAGGTTCTGCAAGTAAAAATCCCATTTGCTGAATTGAGGATTGGGATTATTTGCCATAATTTCGTAACCATCCATGGTAGGTTTACCACCAATTTTGAGATTGTGAAATAATATGCTCTTGTTGAGGCCACAAGCCTGTATGATATCAATCTTGATTAAAGAAAAACATGTTTAATTTGCGATCTCATGGAGAAGTACTACAGTACCCACAGTGCAACAGTGACGTTTCTGATTGGTGGAGCTAGCTGTTACTAGGAATGTCACGAGAACCGATACTTCGGTACCCAGTCGATACCAAAATTGATGGTACTTGTAGGTACTGAAGAAGCAATTCTTCGGGACCCGATGGCACAGCATATACGTGCACAAATATTCTACTCTGCTGTTGGCACAGGAAGAAGAAGAACATGTAGAAGATCGTGCAGCTGTACGGTGATTTACTCCGTCATCAACTCTCCCCTCCATGTGTCTTTGTGTCTGAAACATGGATGGGGTGTAATATTTACATGAACAAATGAAACAAAAGTTCGGGACGATTACAAAGGTTGAATCTGTGTGCTGTAACAAGAGGGCTTTTGTGTTGTGTGGTTGTATGTGATGACATAGAAATGTTTCTATGGTAATTACATCAAATCTCACACATGCTGACAGCTCAGCAGTGTGTGTTCGTGTGTTTAGGACAGGGAATTCTCACCTGTTGTTAGCACCTGCCAGAATAAAAGACCATTCCCTGACGTACATCTGTCATTGTACAGACAGGCTGTTTCTAGTTTGACTGCTGTCATCAGTGCTGTGAGAATGCTATTTATAATTAAAGGTCCAGTGTGTAACATTTAGGAGGATTTATTGTCAGAAATGGAATATAATATTCATAGGTATGTTTTCATTAGTGTATAATCTGAAATAAAGAATCAATTTGTTTTTGTTTACCTTTAAAAATGAAGCTGGTTTAATATTCTTTACAGAGAGGGGTTCATCTTTTCTTTTTCTTTCCAAAACTGTTTGGACCACCCGTGTTTTTACAGATTACCAAGAACAGACAAAACCAACCACAAACTGGCTTTTAGGAATTTGGGCTTTTTTTGTGTTTGGTTGTGGGAAAGCCTTGCGGGCCACCGTAGTTCTTTCCTGCACCTTTGGGAAAGGGGGGGCTGAAGTTGGTATTTCAGTTTGTTTGCAATCTGCCGAACTTTCCACCAACTAAATGCCACTGAATTTTCCTACGGCACTGGTCCTTTAAAGAACAATTTTTGGTTATTCTTTTGGTTTTTTTCAGTCAAATTTCAAAAAAAATGGCAGATTTCAACCAGGCAACCGTAGGTTTTGGTCCTTTTTTCACAACTTGAAAAGGGAATGGTGATTTGCGGACGGGAGTTTGGGGATCTGCGATTATAGCCTTTACTAAGATTTTTAACCCCACCTAAAAATTCCTAACACCCTGGAAGGAACATATGTATTAAAAAGGGTTTTCAATCACTTTGATTTTGATATTCTTGGTTTTTTATTCTTATTGAAAAAACAAATCCCAACACTGAAGGGAAAAATCTATTAACAAGTTTATTGTTGTATCAAAGTTCGTTCAAAAATTCTCTTTCCTCTTATGTCACCTTTCATTTTATTTTAAACTCGAGAAAGACTCAAGAAAACGTTAATGAAAATTAAAACTGAGAAAAAGTTTGGGTCAAACATGTTTTTATTTTTTTTACATCCAGTGGGCCCCACAAAAATTTGTGGTGCGCCTTTTGCGTGTTGGGCAATTTAGTCAGTGATATGTTGGAGGATGGAAAACCTGCGGACCTTTGCTGTAATAACCATCTGTGCTGACCTTTCAGGCTACGGGGACAACCAAACTTAAAACTCGTGACCTTTTCTTGTTTTTCGGCTTTATCGCACGAAAGGGAATAATTGGAGAACGGTTTCCTGGGCGTCGCCCCTGATTGGGTCCAAAAAAGACGGCCTTGGTTAAAACCGGGACAAGGGGAAGAGTGAGGGAGGGAAAGAGGGAGGGAGGGGGGTCTAGAAGAATCTGCTGGGTCTATATTAGCCCTGGTGAATCATGGCAAGCCTGGCATACCGGGTGTCCCCTTTCACACCATATAAGTCCAACCCCCCTCCTTTTCCCTACACCCCCTCCGCCCTGCCTCACCCTGCCTCACCCCGCCTCACCCCTCCACCCCCCACAATGCAACAGTGCTATCTCTGGCTATTCTTAGGCTGTCACTTCAGCTCCTCTGAGCAGGCAAGTCCTCTTCTTTCTCCTCAGCTGCTTCTTCTTTCCACTCTTTTCTCTCAGAGTTTCGGTTTGTGCATTCGACCCATTTTTCAATTCCATGTCCGGTCTGTTTCCTCCTCCCTCACCTGTTTGATATCCTTCTCTCTGTCTCCTTTCAGAGGCTACACAGCACCGGCCCTACCTCCTATCCCTCCAGCAGCTGTGGGGTTTTTAAAAACTTGGTTTAATCGCCGTTGTCCATTTCAGAGGATCTTTTAGTTGTCTGGAAGAATGAGCGCCTACACTGTGTCACTGCCCGGCCCCGGCCCTTGGGGCTTCAGGCTGCAGGGCGGGAAGGACTTCAACATGCCGCTGACTATATCCAGGGTAAGAAACAACCACACTTCCAAGCTGAGTTGAGACTGTGTTTGGTCTCAGTTGAGGGACATGTGTCTCGTTTCTGAAACTTAGCCAATACTGAATGTTGCTGGTGAGCCTACTGTTACCTTTTTTGTATATTTACCAATATATGATCAATTCAGTTCACATTAATTTCATACTTTTGGTGGTGATTTTGAAAGGCATGTTTCTAGCCTTGTAGATGTTGATGTTTTTATCAAGTCATGTCTGTCCTGAAAGTCTTATTTTCTTAAAAACAAGTGACAGAGATCTGCTGCTGAAGTAAGAATACCTCAACCTGTTTCTATCAAAAAATTCATTTCATGAATATTGTAGACAACAAGGCAGGGCGTCCTGGTGGCCAAAGGGTTTAAGTAGCTCATCATGTAATCTTTTGCTGGGGGGGCCTTTGTTGTATGTCCTCATTTCCTGTCATCTCTGATATCCGCAGGGTCTTAAAGCTGCAGTAGGTAACTTCTATGAAAAGAACTTTTTGTCATATTTCCTGAAACATTCACTATATGCTGACAGTAGAACAGATAATGTGTGGAAAAAAATCAGGTTCCTCCTAGTGCTCCTAATTGTATTGTAAGAATCCACCGGGCCTGAATGAAAACAACCAATCAGAGCTGAGAAAGATAGAAATATGTTTTGTGCTGGTGGCTTGAAGGTAGCTGATTGTTGAATCTCATTCCCAGCGTCTGTGTTTGACGCCCTGGGACTATCTTTCTTGACTCTGATTGGTTGTTTTCATTCAGGCCCGGTGGATTCCTGCAAATTCAGTCTCCATTTTAAATGTTTTTAAATGTTTGTATTAATGCTATAACAACAAAACCAAGCCAACAGGGAACCAATACTGATTTTCCTTCATATCCTTAGTACTTTTTTCCGCCAATACAGATGTAAAATAGCTCTTAGTAATAATTAGATAAGAATGAGATTTGTGCATTAATGACAGCCGTTCTCTTCCATCAGTTTGCTTTATTATTGTAGCATTTGAATGAAATCCCAAGTTGATTTTTCATATAACAATACCTATAGAAAAATAAAAAAACATGGTACAATTTGGAGAACAGTGGTATAGTCCTTTAAATCTGGATGTTTCCTGTCATGTGCTGTAATAAACTGATCTGTGGATTCAGAAACACATTTGCAGCCTGTCAGGGCGAGATCCCCGGCGGGCCCTGGTGGCCCCCGCAGGACGTGACGGCTGCCAGGATTTGTCAGGGAGGCCAAAAGCAGAGCCGGAGGCCTAAAACTGGAGCTGGTTTTGGTTTCACAGCCTCGTCTCTCTGAATAGAGCATAGACACACTCATCGAGCTCTTGTCTCTGCTTCACTCTGCATTTTTTTATCGTCTTTCTGGGCTCGCTGGAGAATTTGCCGCATCTGTTGTCAGGATGCTGTGATCCGTGATCATTGACCTTCTCTGTGTTGGCTGCTTGTTGGTGATTTAGACACTGAGGCAGGAGGAATTTATTTTCTGTTTGCTTTTACATGACATTCCAAGTCTCCTTGCTGTAAGGATTTGGAAGTGACGATAAGTAACGTACAGGAGGTGGAAATTGAATGTTGATTGGGAAGAAGATTTGCAGCTCTTTAAGTGTGTTGATGAAGTTTAAATGAAGGTTTAATGAACTTACTGTGGTGGAATGATGAGGTGTGATCGGATGATGTGATGCAAAAGTTTTGCTTTGATTATTTTACAGTATACATTTCACTTGAAAAAATGTATGTGTCATTCTCTGCTCAGGACATTGGTGAAAATGACTCTTACAACATCTATATAAGCATCATAGTAGGCCGATACGGTAAAAAAATTATATTGTGATCAATTTGACAAATATTGCGATTGCAGTATGTTTCACAATCACAATTTTAATTTTTACAGGAAAGAAATCCTGTTAAAATCATCATCTGTTGTCTGTACTAAACACTGCACTGTTTTCTTTGATCTGGAGAACAAGATTTGTAGACGAGGACATCTCTTCAGCACTACAGTACTTCATTATAATGCTGTTTGTCACATATTTTACTTTTATCAAACAAATGCAGTTTCTTTGCTTTGAGTATTGCACTTGGCCATATTGTGACTTTGATAACATTTCGATTAATTGTGCAGCCCTACATCATAGCTATAAATTACACAGGCAAAAACTGATAAAGTGCACATTTACAACATTTACAAAGTATGTTTTACTCAGCTTTTATCCAGTCAGACAGACAGTGTCACTATTCTGACATGGTGGGTGGGGGGCAAGAGTCAACACCTAAGTATCATAACCAATAACTGACATAGGCATTTTCAACATATTACTTGGGTTCAATTCAATTCAATTCAA